TCACCTGCAATATATGTCTTCATAACGCTTTTCATTGGCTGGTCAAGAAACGTGTCATTCATCAACCTTGACCTTCCTTGACCACACCTCCCAATTTTGGGCAATCATTGCCGAAAATCAAATGATTTGAAATTTCGGTAACGATTGCGCGCAGCTTTGCGTTGCCGTCGCAGAGCATGATACACAAGCAATTTCTTTCTCGCGACGGCAATGCAACGATTTTACCACCATTGCATTGCCATCGCCAGAAAAGTATTGACCGTGTATCCGTAGCTTAACTGGTACCAGACGATCGATTTTACTCTCAACCTGCATGGCGAGCCTTGCACACTAATGTGTTAACCAAATTATCCGCCAGTGTGCCTTGTTAATTTACACATTCAGCTGCAAATTGCAACCAAATGCACCCTACTTTATTATATTTTACTTTATTATATTTTACTATAGTGCCTAAAGCCAGACAATTTTACTTGTCAAGGGGAGGGTCCTGCACACTAATGGGTAAACTAACAATGTATATACAATACACTAGACTGAGACTTTAATTTTGCTTCAAAAATTACATACTTGACCATCTTGTGACTTTAAAGGATGGATATAAAAAGTATCATCATCTGTTCTGATAACTCCTCTAAAATATTACAACAAAAGTTTAAAGCCACACTGAGAAGTCAGACATGTCATGCACCTCGATCATGGACATTAATTGTTGTTTTAAAGGTAATATTAATTATCATGTATTGTCCTAATATGTTGAAATTTAATATGGTAGAACCTAGCTTATGTAAGACTTTGTGGTTATATAATTTGTTCCCAAGTCTGTACAATTTGTTTACATGTTTGGTTATGACATTTTTCACTGTTTTATAGACATCTGAAGCTCATATAGCTACTAATTTTCTTAGAAATCAACTCTTAAGTGAATATATATAATATATACAATTATATACTAACTCAATTCCATCACAAGTACTCAATGACACAACTGAATTTTCTTCTCCTTTGACCGTCCCATGATAAAAACAATGCTCATGAGGTATCTAGTAAATAAAAGTTTAAAAAATTCTGAAACCATTTTAACTATATATACAGGTACATAATAACCATTTTATAACCATTTTAACTATATAATAATTATTATACAAATTATGTGATTATTGAAAAAGCTAAATGTGTTGTTAGTACATGCTTGAATGGTACACCCAATGTAATTAGGACACTGGTCCATATATAATAAAAGGAGTCTGTGTTAGGGAGGTACTTATAATAAGAGGTTTGACTGGATAATATACAGTACAGTACGTACAGTACATAATCGATCATTATAATATTATCAATACTGGATAGCAAATCGTTTCTATATACTGTATGTACCTGTCTTGCCAATTCAGGAGCATCATTTGAAACATAATGTTCTTCAAATTGTGGACTGAACAAACCTCTATAAGTTTCCAGAATTAGCATAATTTAGCCAAAATATTAAAGCAGAAAATAAATCTAATTTATTTATTATCCATTAGGTGGCAGCACTCTCCCCTTAAATAAGTAAAATCGTCTGCTTTTAGACAGAGTCAAAAAATTAAGTACGGTACATCACCTGGCACATTACCACTTAAATTAAGGTGAAGGTTATTTACACATATACACAGTCATGCAGGATATGTGGTTGACCAATTCATCAGCAAAGGAGAAGGACTAAGGAGGAAGGACCATAGAGATTATAAATAACACTAGAGGAGGCATTGTAATCTTAATTCAATAAAAAAAGGGAACGCGACTATTGGGGGGCAAATTTAAGTCCCGGATGTGTATTCGTGTTTCCATTGGCGACGAGTTTCAAATCAGCCAATCAGAGCACGATTTTATATCCGGGACTTGAATTTGCCCCCCATTAGCTGCGTTCCCAATTTTTAACCTCGATGCCTCCTCTAGTGTTATTTATAATCTCTATGGGAAGGACTGCATAGGGAGGAAGGACTGCATTAAGGCAGCATCCCTATATGCACTCACTCTTCAATTGTGACAATGTAGCAATTGAAAGTGCCTAATGGGTCAAAGTTGCACATATGACCTTTAAGATCTACAGTATGTTGAACACAGAAAAAAAAAACCCAAAAACATGAATGGAAAAATTAAGTTCTATTAGTATATTGATAATTCCCATTTACAAATTCATTAAATTAACGTGAAAAATATATAAATTAGCTAGTAATAATAATAATAATAATTATTATACATTGTAGTTGGTAAAAGCAATTTGATTGGCTGAGAGCTTACAGTTAAATCGTGCAATCACGCAACCTACACAAAATTCAGTTATCTGCTAGCAGATAACTGGATTTTGTGTAGGTTGCGTGAAATTGAATGAGTGTACATTTCAAATGAGTGTAAATTTCAATTTTCAAATGAATCTACATTTCATAATTGTAATGTTTACTTTAACAAGTAAATATTTTAATACGTTAACATCTTAACGATAATATGTTTCTTTTATATTTGTAATTAATTTAACTGTTGGACTTCCGGATACTTGTTTATAGAAACGTTTTACTTGAACAGCAGAAATCATATTGAATCATATAGTATTAAAATACTATGTTTATTATTCTTCAAATGTATAATAAAACAATTATTGAATTCGGTTTTTTGCGATATGCAAAATTATCAAGGTCTCGGTAAGCGTTATCAGCCTCGCCTTCGGCTCGGCTGATAACGCTTACCTCGACCTTGATAATTCCGCATATC